GTTTCTTTTTACGCTTAGAACTACCTGATTCAAATTTCCTAGTTGACATAATTAAAATTGTTTACCAATCCAATTATCCGAATTTCCAATCAAAAGTTCCCTGCAAAAAAAAAAAGGTTAGAAACAAAATATGGCAGCCGACTTCACCCTTCAAATGGAAATGGGCTTATGGTCATTAAGGCCCAAATAATGATTGGGAAATTGGCATCGGCCTCCAATCCTCCATGGCTCCATCCCAAAGTTTAATTGACGAGAGAGACGGAGAGAGGAGAGGAGAACTTACAGAAGCGGCGGATCGGAAAGACGGAGACAGCGGAGAGCCGTGCACAGCGGCGCCGGCACAGACAAGGAAGTCGGCAACAGGGGCGGCTCCCGGCGGCGGGCTATGTTGCCGTGATGCTTCTCGGCTTCCGTCGATCTGATGGTCTGAACTCTGAACTCTGGAGAATGGAGATTTGGAGGGGAATCTGCCAATCAGGGGAGAATTGAAATCAGAACTCAGAAGATGGGAGAGGGTTTGATTTTCGACTACTTCTCCTTTCTTTACTTGCCCGCCTATTTAAGGAGGGGATTGAGCTGAATAGGAGAATTGAACGTTGGATTGTGAACGTTGGATTGTTGATTGTTGATTGTTGAACGTTAATAGTAATTAGAGGAAGATAGAAGAGTTAATTAGTTGTACATTAATTTGTTTTGGGAAGGTTTTGGGGAGTTGTGGAATTGAATTCGATGTCTGCGGAATGATTTTGGGAAAGGGAAGGATAGTTGAGAAGTCGCCGGCGCTGGAAGAGGAGGAAGAGTTCATTTTCCTATTTTTTATATATATATATATATGGTGGCTACTTCGGTGCACTCGCTTTTTTGGGTGCATTCAGTGCACCCACCTCTAAAAGTGGTCATAATACACCAAATTTTGAAATTTAATGGGTAGCATTAGTCTCATATGATGATAGAACACAAAATCACAACTAATCAACCCATTACCCTAACCTATTAACATTCATTTTGAATCTAAACCCAAAATCCCAAATTGTAAACCCTAACCCTAACTCTAAGGGGTCGTTTGGAGAATGAGATTTAGGGCGTGGATTCATTGAATCCGTAGATTTTGTAGAAAGTTATGTTTTTTTGTTATTTTTTGTATTGTGGATTTGAGCTTTAGAGATTTCAAATCTCTAAAATCTACGGATATCAAATCTCTCATAATCGGAGAGATTCTATATCTTGATTCGTGAGATTTTTTTTCTCCTACTTTTTCTCTTTGTTTTATTTATTTATCATATTAAATATATTTATCAACAAAGTTTTTAATATTTCTCAAACCACTCTAATTTTTTATTAAGGATAAACACGTTATTTAATATAAAAATAATTTTTTTATTTTCATTGAATGTTAACAATCACAGTTACCAAACAATAAACATTTTAAAATCTATTTTCAACAATCCGAAGAGTTAGAATCTTTAGATTGTTGACAATCTATAGATTTAAACTCATATTCTCCAAACGACCCCTAAATTCCTAAACCCTGAATCATTCAAATTAAAGTGAATCTTGAATGATTTTTGTACAAATTCATGTGGTTCTTGTTCATCATACTACAAGGGATGATTGACATCGTTTTCACATGAATCGTCTGCTCAGAATGACGATTATGAGGCGGGTGCATTGAATGCACCCAAAAAAGTGAGTGCATCGGAGACATAACCATATATATATATATATATATATATATATATATATATATATAATTATATGGGCTGGGTTGGACTGAGACCCCAATATTCTTGAGGCCCTGTGCTGTGGGTCAGGCCAGCACAGAGTCTGGGCCGGGCCTGCCAAACTGTAATATCCGAGAACATTAAATTTTATGGGTGGGTGCGAGTTTAAACCTTTGAAACCCGAATTCTTGTGGGTAGGATGAGGGTTTGGATGGTTACAATCCGAGAATATCCAAACTGACTCGTGGGACTAAATTATGCATCCAAATCTTATATAGTTGAAATATATTCTTTTAACAATAAATCGCTTACTTTAATTGTTATCCATGTAATTTATTTACATGGTTAGGGTTGGTAAATTGTAAAGTCAATTATTTATGAAAGTGTCTCATTAACACATATATGTTTATTACTTATATTCTCATCTTCTCTTTATATTTAATTTAATAGCTTACTACAATGTTTTAATAAGTGAAATATTTTCAATTTTGTATTTATACTTTTTTGTTTTATAGTGCATATATGCATTATTTTTCGTTTTTTTTTTAGTGATTTTTTTTTTCGTTTTGTTTTTTATAATGAATTGGATTTTCGTCCAAATCGTGACTTAAGCAACCTGTAGGGATTTGAAATTAATGAGTGGGTTTGGGTTAATAATTATTCAATCCGAGACTCATTGGTTAGATGGTTAAAAGTGTCGAAACCGACCCAACCGAGTAGCTAGGGTTAGCTGAATCGCAATCGAAGGGCTTCTTTTCTGTGTTGTGATTACGATGCCATCGCCCGTAGATGGCGAATCGTCGTCAAAGACGGCGGCGGCAGGAAGAACGAAGAAGTTCCCATCAGCGTTGTCGTCGGATCAGAAGTGGAGAGGTAAGAATCTTTACCTGAAGTTCCAATTCGGCAGTTGTATTTGGGCGATCGAGGCTTTCCGCGGGACGTAGGTCTGAACGACGGACAATTATCACACCACTTAATTGGATGCATCCATGGAAATTCTCCACGCTTTTATATCTAGGGTTTCATGTCGCCATGAACAAGGAAAATTGAGAGGAGCAACCCAATCTGATAGAATCATCGGATACTAGTAGCTAGTCAATGTGCTTATACGCTTTTATACTTTTAGGTCACCCAAATGCTTCAGGTTTTTACTGTTTAAAGTCGAACCAGACCGGCCGGTAAGAACTGGACGAACTAGCTGTCATTTGTCGAGAAAATGTTTGGGTTTTGTTACTGGTGAAGTGGGAGGGCGAGTTCTTGTGGGAACTAAAAATTTGCATAGGCGGCCCACCATACTCTGTGCTTAAATAGACGATTAGTATTGAAATCGTAAGATTCGACCACTTGATCAAAACCAGTTTTGATACCACATCATAAACCAACCTATCTCGATAACTCCAACTTTTATAAAAAAGGTTAATTCTTAATTTTATTCCACTCTCTTACTTACCCTCTTCACATTCATTTCACAATCATTGTTTCCCTTAAAAAAGGTAAGATTAATTAAAGTCACTACTATATATAACTCAAACTTATCAAATTACATGGAGTAGATCAAAAGGAAACAACACTAAGAGAGACATTGTGAAGCAGAATGGTAACGTATTGATGCGCCATGCTAAGCTCATTAATTTTGTTGTCGTTTTTTCAGAGAGGGATCATGAGCAAGCAGCATGTGTATGGGCATGATCAATCTGTCATCGTCCATGAACATGATGATACCTTTTTCCCCAAGATAAGAACACGATGATTCCTTAGCGCATAATCATGGGCAATATATATAAAATGTATGGGGAGTTATATATATATGGTGACGTTTCGGTGCACTTACTTTTTTGGGTGCATTCAGTGCACTCGCTTCATAATCGTCATTTTAAACATGATATTTATGTCAAAATGATGTCAATCATCACTTATGATGTGATGAACAATAACACACATGAATTTGCACAAAAACCATGAAAGATTTGCTTTAATTTGAAGGATTTAGAGTTTAAAGATCTAGAGTTAGGGTTTACAGTTTGGGGTTTAGGGATAGAACTCAAAATTGGAGGTTTAAGGCTTAGGGTAATCCGCTAATTAGTTGTTATCATATGTTATATCATCATATTATACTAATTCTATAAATTAAAATTCAAAATCCGACTACTTAAGACTAGTTTTTGAGTTGGGCGCATTGAACACACTCATTTTTGTGAGTGTGTCGAAGTAATCACCGTATATATATGGGAGAATAACCCAATAATCAACAGAAACCATTATGGTAGTTTCTTGGATGCATCCGAAAAGAGGAATCTCATCTTGGCTAACTATCAATCACCATGTGCAAATTGGCGAAAGGTAGCAAAAAAGGGAGTCAAAATTATTTTGGTACAACGCAAAGCAAAATTTTGTGGCCTGCTGCATCTTTGGCCGGCTGCTAGTTCCAGATGTGCAAACATGCAGATGGCGTTGTGATAAAAGAAGAATAGGGTTTTGCCAACGGAAGAGCGGTCAAATGTGTATTTTGCTACGAGGCATATATCTATCCTCAAAACAGCAAAGCTATTGCGTCGGAGTGATCATTGGATAATTCGTGATGAACCTAATTATATAAGAGAACACTTTACAAACACGCTTTCCCTTCGTTTCATCATTCACGTGTCTTTAGCTTGACATCAACATCATTTGAAACACGATATGAAACTACTTAAAATCATATAATTTCTCACAAGGAAGATCCTCCACAAAGACATTTTCTAAAGGCTGAATCCAAAAAGTGGGCCTGGTTGGCTCCGATATGGGTTGTGTGTTGTGCTAACGGAGAACAACACAGGTGAGGTGAAGGTAACGAACTTGGGCTGAGAAACATGGCTAATTGACTGAATAAAGCCCAATATGCTCCATACTTGCTTGTAGGGGTGTCGGTTCGGTTCGGGTTTGGCTACCAGAACCGAAACCCGAAAAAACCCGAAACCCAAAATCACTAAAATCGAAACTGAACCCGATAAAGACTTGCGGGTTCCGGTCACCCGAAACCCGAAAATTCTTTATCGGGTTCGAGTTCGGTTAAAGCAAAACCGAAACCCGAAAACCCGAACGCCTAAGAATATGGGCTGAGTTCTATTCATTGGAGGTTTTTAGACGAAACCCGAAAAACCGATAAGCAAAACCGAACCCGAAACCGAAAAACCCGAAACGAACCCGAAAACCCGAAAATGTATATAATCGGGTCGGTTTCGGGTAAACCCAAAAAACCAAACCCGAATGGACACCCCTACTTGCTTGACACAATCAGAGAGACGTAGAATGTTGTTATTACGAAATCCGGATTAAGCCTTGGCACGTGAAGATTGTTCGGATTAGTTGTTGTTGGGATGCCAATCTCCTTACTAACATTTCTTTTATCATTGGCATAAGCAGTTTTAGAGAAAAATACCTTAGATTTGTCCTTTCTAATAAGTTTCGTCGATGCTTTACAGAAAAATTCAACACGACTAATGATACATGCGACTTGTTTAATGCGACTTGTTTTGCAACTTGCAATAACTCCTAGTGATGATTGGGATATGTGGAATTGCACGGGGCATTTAGAAAGTTTAAGGTGAATACCATAGTAACTAAAATCAAGCTAGTTTGCAGAGAAAGATGTAAACTCAAGTTTTCAAGGGTAAGGAAGACTAATTATGTTCTCCTTGGCCAAATTAAAAATGAGGTAGAAGGTGTTAAGGATGGTGATGGAGTGGAGGGGACCTAGACCACCTAAGCTTGTGCTATGTGATTGCTCTTTGATATAGGTTAATTTGGTAGTATTTTGTTTTACAGTATGTTTGAATACAAATTTGTAGATAGCAGTGATCTTGGGTGATTGTGAACCAACTAATGTTGGCAGTTGTGTTGCCAAATACTACTTGTTCTTTTTATCATAATAAATATCCTACTAATTCATAAAAAAAAATTATATAAGTATCATTGTAACAGTATGGTTTCCTTTTGATGTCTCTTGCATGTCCATTATCGTACGATTCATGTATATGTAAAGGATACGAATTACCATCGCTTACACTCTTGGTTTCATGCCTATTATAGGATTCGTATTTGTAAAGTATCCCCATTGAAACGATGGATTACTCGATGGGGAATAAGAACATACATCATAGATGACGTTGAAATAAAGTAAGTGAAAAATATTTGTGAATAAGTCGCTTTGGCCGAGTGGTTAAGGCGTGTGCCTACTAAGTACATGGGGTTTCCCCGCGAGAGTTCGAATCTCTCAGGTGACGATGATTTTCATGGATTATATAAGGGTTATTTTATTGTTAGATTTGGTTCTTATATAAGTTTTTTGGCTGAATTTGTTTATTTAATTTTAAAAATAAATACCTATATTAAAATATTGATTGGTTTTGTTTTTTTCAGATTTAATGATGATTTTTTCGAATTAAATTTATGATTTTAAAAAAGAAACCTACTTTATAGCCTTTAAAAGTTGGAATAATGGAACAAATTGGAGCTGAAGTAGTCATTAAACATCAAATTTTTCAATAAAAAAATCCAAATAACGCCTATTTAATTGGATTTTCTAAACTCACAAGATCATAAATTTGGAACAGAAAATAAAGAAAGAATTCAAATTCTCGGATCCAACGAACCTGGCACCACTCATTTTGAATAAACAAACATAAATCAGGCCGAACACTTTATGACTGCGCGATTTGAGTCACAAATTCATCGGTGAAACCAGACAAAGTATAAAATCTAATGATTCATTGCAGTTTACAATAGAAAAAAAAGGTCAAACTATTATAAATGTTGTGGTTGGGTAGAAAAAGACCACCACAAGTGGCAAACAATAAAGAAAAATTTATGTGCATTCAGATTACATAATCTCACACCCCCTAGAAGACAATAAAGCTTTTTTCACCAATTACATACAATTGTCTAGTTTAGTCCAACTCACTCTGCCTCAAATCTCTCCCCTCCTCTCTGTGTTACTCTCTCACTCTCTATCAAATCAGAATTCATTATCGAGGTTAGTAATAGAATCATCATATTTGATCATCATCTCCAATATTATGCAGCAGCAGTAGGGTCCGGACCAGCTGGTTTGGAGTTGAGCAATGGTTGAAGCGCCTTGACAACAATTGTCATGTTTGGCCTGAAATCTGCCTCGTACTGGACACAAAGCGCTGCAACTGCTGCTAGCTAAAATGCCATTTTTTTTTCACCACCACAAAGAACAACATAAGTTGTCACGTATTTAGAATTGTGACTTGGTTAATTTCAAGAACTTATCAATGAAAGCAATTGATGGTTGAAAAGAACCTTGGCAACTGCCTTTGGTGGATACTCATTGTTTAGCTTGGGATCCACACATTGCTTCACTTTGTCTTCGCTCAATCTGGGTGTAGCCTGCAACCCACATTATTTGATATAGTTAGAACATATTGAAAACTAAGGGTATAACAAGAAAATGGAGTAATGTTTTTGTGATCGAGATACCCATGTAACAAGACTCTGTTGGCCTTTAGGCATTGTATGGTCTACAGGCTTTCTACCCGTGAGAAGCTCTAACAAAACCACACCAAAACTGTAAACATCACTCTTCTGAGTGATTTGCCCTGTCATGGCATACCTGGGCATCAAAACACAAACAAAACACCAAATTGTTAATGGGTGGATGAATTTTGGTCTAAGCTAAACTCTGTCTGGGGGGTTATCTGTTTTGATGGGCATATATTAATGATTACTCTGGAGCATGGTAGCCGAAGGTTCCCAAGACTCGAGTCGAATGCAGGCGAGCTGCGGTATCAGAGGAAGCACTGGAGATGTTGAAATCTGCTATCTTGGAGGTGAAATCATCAAAGAGCAGCACATTGCTGGACCTCACATCCCTATGAACTATTGGAGGCTGGCATTTCTCGTGCAGATAGTCCAAACCTTTTGCCGCTCCAAATGCTATCTTCACCCTCTGGTTCCAGTTCAGAACTGGCCCTGGCTCTGCCCCTTGTACCCCTTTCCTCCCTGTGTGCAGAGATCAGAACCTCAAATTCTAGTTTTTTACTATTCCAATTGGAGAAATACACATATTGGAAGAAGAACACATATAACAAAGTTAAAGTTGTTACCGTGTAGCACATCGTGCAATGAGCCCATCGAGGCATATTGGTAGACCAAGATTCGGTTGTTTGCCTCTAAGCAATACCCCATTAGCTCCACAAAATGGTCATTTTTCAATCTCGAAACCACTGATAACTGCAGTGATTGATTGATATACCAAAGAAAACAGATTGGTTGTGTTATTTCATTTCATACGAGACGAGGATGGTCATTCTGGGGATATTATGTATGTGTGTGACCTGTGCTGAAAAATCGGTGTCGGGTTCTTGGGAAGTGCTGGTGTCAAGCTTTTTTATTGCCGCCGGCACACCGTCGCTTAAAGTTGCATAGAAAACACGACCATAGGATCCTTCTCCGATCAGCGACTTGGGGCCGAAGTTGTCGGTTAATCTGTTAAGCTCTTCCAATGGTATGCTTGGGGTTTCGATTGGCAACACCTTCTGTGGAACTCCTCTTGGTGGGTTAGCCTTTGGTTCAGGTGCTGTTGTCACCACAAATAGTTAGGTTCTTTGCATGAAGAGGGAGAGAAAGAAAGAGGGTGTCATAAATCAGTTGGTCTCAATAAATCGCGAGTTGTTGGGAGAAGGGTTATGGTGGGGATCTTATATCACTCTCTAACACGCCCCTCTCAAACGAAAGCGCCAACCCATGGGCTTGAAGTTTGCACAGACGATCGTCATACCGTGTGCTTTAACCAACTGTTAATATCGCGGGGGGTTGTGGAGATTCGAACACGCTGCCAACCCATGGGCTTGAAGTTTGCACAGACGATCATCATACCTTGTGCTTTAACCAACTGTTAACATCGCGGGGGATTGTGGAGATTCGAACACGCCCCCCTCAAACTTTAAAGTTGACTTTCGTTTGAGGAGGGGGCGCGTGTTAGAGAGTAGTATAAGTTTTTGCACGACAACTCGCGAATTATTGGGACCAGCTGGTTTATGACGAGACAGGGAGGGAGAGAGTAATGTACCGCCATAAGGGCTGCCTTTGGGAGGGGCAGTGTATTGATTAGCAGGGGGATAAGGTTCCTCCTCTGCACCTCCGCAACACAACATAATAATCAACTCTTTCTTTCTTTCTCTCTGCTGATTAATTTTTGTTAATGACAGATATAAAAAACCGCTTCATATCATGAACATAATCCGATGAGCAAAAACCGCTAAATCCAAAACGGATCTAATTTTATATTATGAGCAGAAAGAACTCACATTGACAAAGAAAAAATTGGCAAAAGGCTGAGTGGAGTCTTCTTCCTTCCTTCCTTCCTTTTGGGAAAAAAACTAGGCCGATATTGAAGCAGTTGAAAGAAGATCCATAACCAGGACTTTTTGGGATAAAATAATGACCAATGAGATTGATCGATGAATGAATGAGAGAAAAAGGTTGAGAAGATTATAGGAAAAATACAACAATTTTGGTGAAATCTTCTTCTTCCTCCTCTTCCTCCTCCTCTGTTTCTTTTGATTTTGTTGTTGTTAGGGTTGGGAGGGAGGTAGAGTAACGATAATCCGGGCGGGCAGGCTCTTCTCTTGCCTTCGCTTTTCCTTTGCGCTTTTGCTATGTTTTCTGCCCTTTTTCCCTGCACCTCTCTCTAATTTGCTATTATTTTGATGGTTTCCCAAAAATGATATATATTTGCGTATATATATTATAGCAACAACTATTAGGTAAGACGAACAACCCTTTAAATCTAACCTCTCCCCTATCTCTATGTGCCTTCACATTTCCTAATTCACTAGTCCTCAATCACTATTTTCTTCCTCTCTCTCTCTCTCTCCATTTGTCTTTTCTAGTTCGTAATTCTTATGGTTATGGCTATTGTGGCCATCCTTTGAAGAATCTGGCGATCTCGGAATTGGGTAGTCTTTGAAGGCAAACAATTTGGGATCCCGGCGCTCATGCGACAGTTTAACCAACAGTATGAGGAGTGGGTGGGTTTACCAGCGGACCAGGCGCCTAGGGTACAAATCCCGATGATGCAATCTGCAGCACAAGTGAGTGATTCCCATTTGGTTTGCATGTGGGACGGGGCTACTAAGGGTGGGTCGCATTCGGCTGGTGGGATGGTTCTTTTTGGCCCAGCGCGGACACTCCTTCTGGCTAGAGGGGTCCAGTTTGATCAAATGGATGATCCTGCAGTGGTGGAATTGCTTGTGCTCAGGGAAGCTATTATTTGGTGTATGGAGCAAGATTTGTCGGAGGTCTGATTTGAGGGCGATGCGAAGGTTGTTATTGACAAACTTAATCAAGCCGACACAAGAGATAGCCGGTTGGGTGCTGTTCTGGAAGAGATTGGTTCTTTTAGTGTGCGTTTTGTAGGTCGAGAGAACAATAAGGTAGCTCATTTGGTAGCTAGGAAAGCCCTCTCTTTGTATCCGACTATAAGTCATTTCTTTGATTTCTAGACCTAGTTGGTTTCCAGGGTGTAACTGTCTATTTTTTTATCAATACATGATATCTTTTGACAAAAAAAAAAGAAGGTTATGACACCACTTATAATATAACTAAGAGCATCGTATTTGTCCTTTCAAAATCGTAGTAGTTCAGTACTTGTCTAACTTTACGTTAACCTTGCATAACTTTTATATATAAGTACGATATATCATGAAAACGGTAATGATGTGGATATAGTCATGTAGATGAATTTATTTAGTAATTAATTAACAGATATGATACAAATAAATTCGTACCATTGATTGACACAGCCACACAGGCAAGGCACACCATTTGAAAAATACGAGGGTTGCACTTCCCCGCCTTTGAAGAAGTAAAAAACTGGGAAATGAGGGGAAAACCCAACTTGCAGTTTCACTCTCACTCGCATACTGACATCCAGCTCTCTCACTCGGATCGCTTTGCCCCGACGGCGACGAGGAAGAAGGAGTAGAAGCAACGGGAAAATGGAAGACGAAGATAGGCAGAAGACTCTGGATCTAGTCAAGGAGCTAGTGCACCGTCTCCTCTCTCACAATCCCGCTGCACCAAACAACGCCGCCCGAAACCCTAACCCCACCGATCTCAACAACTCCTTCCGCTACGCCGTCCGCATCCTCTCCAGCAGGCTCACTCCTTCCATCGCCCCCGATGCCGCCGCCATCGCCGAGTCAATCAAGCGCCGCCTCGCCACTCAGGGCAAGTCCTCCCAAGCACTCTCCTTCGCCGATCTCTACAACAAGTTGGCCTCCAAAACTGGGGCCGGCAGTATCAACAACAAGTGGGCGGTTCTCTATTTGCTCAAAATTGTATCCGAGGACAGGAAAGTGTCTCAGGCCTCGCACAATTTCGCACTTCACCTGCCCAGTCTGAGTCTGGATGACCGTGAATTGGGCGGGGAATCCCGCAATTTCAGGCGAGGGGAAAAGGGTTGGGAGGATGGGGTTTTGATGGTGGCCAAGGACCCCGAGAATTTGCGGGAGATCGCGTTTAGGGAGTTTGTGAATTTGGCCAAGGAAGAAAATGACGTGTCCGAGGAGGTCTTGGTGAGGGATGTTTTGTATGCTTGCCAAGGGATTGACGGTAAATATGTGAAATTTGATGCCGGTCTCGATGGTTATGCGTTGCCAGAGAATCTCAAGGTCCCCAGGTCGACTAGAACTATGGTAAGAAAGCTATGTGAGTTAGGGTGGTTATTCAGAAAAGTTAGAGGGTACATCACTGACAGTATGGATTCATTTCCTACCGAAGATGTAGGAACAGTAGGCCAAGCATTATGTGCTGCGTTGCAAGATGAGCTCTCTGAGTACTACAAGCTGTTAGCTGTGCTTGAGGCTCAGGCAATGAATCCTATTCCGTTGGTTTCCGGGTCAGCTATTTCGTTGAATTATCTATCTTTGAGGAGGTTGTCAGTGTGGTTTGTGGAGCCGATGGTGAAAATGCGTTTAATGGCTGTTCTGGTTGATACATGCAAAGTCTTGAAAGGTGGTGCCATGGCTGGTTCTATACATTTGCATGCTCAGCATGGTGATCCTCTTGTACATGAATTCATGAAGAGCTTGCTCCGAAGGGTATGCTCTCCGCTTTTCGAAATGGTTAGGCGATGGGTTTTGGAAGGAGAACTGGAAGATATATTTTCAGAGTTCTTTATTGTGAGCGAAACAAAGGAACTAGAATCTAATGTGAGCCAAAAAGGAAAAGAGTCCCTTTGGAGGGAAGGTTACAGGCTGCATTCCATGATGCTTCCTTCTTTTATTTCTCAGTCCCTAGCTCAGAGGATTTTGAGGACTGGGAAATCGATAAACTTTCTGCGGGTGTGCTGTGATGATAGGGGATGGGCAGATGCTGCCACGGAGGCTGCCGCTGCAGCAGGAACAAGCACAAGAAGGGGAAGTCTTGGATATGGCGAAACTGATGCACTTGAAAATCTGGTTGCTGAAGCAGCAAAGAGAATTGATAAACATCTGTTGGACGTTATGTACTCAAGGTATAAGTTCAAAGAACACTGTCTTGCAATCAAGCGTTATTTACTGCTTGGCCAAGGTGACTTTGTTCAATATCTAATGGATAGCATAGGGGAAGAGCTTTCTGAACCTGCTAGTACCATCAGTTCATTTAAGTTGGCTGGCTTTTTGGAAAGTGCAATCCGATCATCTAATGCTCAATACGATGACAGAGACATATTAGATAGGGTGAGGGTCAACATGATGGTTCAAAGCACTGGTGATAGGGGATGGGATGTATTTTCACTGGAATATGATGCTAGTGTTCCATTGAACACGGTGTTCACTGAATCTGTCATGGCAGAGTATCGAAGGATTTTTAATTTCCTGTGGAAGCTGAGACGAGTTGAGCATGCACTTATTGGTGCTTGGAAAACGATGAAACCAAACTGCATTACCTCCAATTCCTTTGTTAAGCTGCAGGGTTCAGTTAAATCACAGTTACTTTTGACATTGAGGCAGTGCCAGGTACTGTGGAATGAGATGAACCATTTTGTCGCAAACTTACAGTATTACATTATGTTTGAGGTATTGGAGGTATCATGGTCAAAGTTTTCAGACGAGATGGAAGCTGCAAAGGATCTCGATGATCTTCTTGCAGCTCATGAGAAGTACCTTAATTCGATTATAGAGAAATCTCTTCTTGGTGAACGCTCTCGGCCCCTCTACAAGTCACTATTTGTTTTATTTGACCTCATATTACGTTACAGAGGTCAGGTCGATCGATTGTATGAAGGCATCTTTGAGCTGCAAGCAAGGTACTTAGTCTCTTATCCTGTCAAAACATCTATATATTAGTGTTGAGTTTTACTTTTTATTTAACTGTCGAAAATATGAAGCTTTTAGCTCTGTTTTGTCCAGAAATGCTGTGTCTTTACCCTCCAAAGACAAGAGGAAGTCATCGAAACAGACTTCAAAACGACCTGAGCCTCCTGGGTCCTGGGTTGGTGAAGGAAGGAAGGCCCTAACACAACGTGCCGGAGAGTTTCTTCAAAATATGGGGAAAGAGTTGGGCGCCATCGCAAAGGAATATACATCACTGTTGGAAGTTTTCTTATCCGAGTTGCCTGTCCAGCAGCACATCAACTTGAAATTCCTTCTTTTCCGGCTTGACTTCACTGAATTTTATAGCCGACTGCATCCTGCTAAATGATGTAAGTTGTTGATACTTTAGAGTTCCCACCCCTACTGTAGTTACTTTCAAGAAATGGCCAGAGCTTTCCAGTATGGCTGATTGCTCACAGCCATATTGCTGAGGGAGTGTGCAGTTTCTCTTGCTTACATCAAGCGTACCCTTTTATCTAGGTACTGGAGCTTTACAACCCCTCAAAGCAGTTCCCTTGATTTGCTTATCTCACTGTCAGTCTTCTGGTCAGAGATCTGATGATGTTATTGGTTTGATCAATTGCAGATGGTGTGTTCTACTTTGTGATGATTTTCATGAAAATTTGGGATCATGGAAGAAGGTACTTTGTATCATTATATGATTTGTTGTTAGAAGTAGTGGTAACTGACCACTGGATCAGTGTGATGTTTCACCCTTCTAGAAAAAACTGGTTCAGTTTTATGGTGTGAAGGGTGATTTCCTTTCAAGCTTGGGAAGCAGTAGGTCTCGTCATTTTGTGTTCTATAGTCTTGCAGTTGCCAAATGGTAGCAGTATGCTGGTACACTGCTTTTGTTTTCACTCCCACTATTTTACTATCCAACTCTAATTTAACAATAACAATCCTGGTGTTTGGATAGCATGTCTGTAAATATCATCTGGCTCTTGCTGTTTGTGTTGAAGATTGCACTGAATGAAGAGTAGGGGTTTGTTTGTTTCTTTTCTTTTCATTTCTTTTCTTTTCTTTTCACGAGAGTGAATGGTAGTGGTTTCTGTGCTCTTCTGATCCACATATTATCAGCTCCATTATACTGTTTGTGTCTCTTCAGTTCTCTGCTTGCTGAAATGCAGTGGCCTCCATGAGTAGTTCAAAACTGAAATTTGATGCAGCATCAGGGGGTATCTGGTTAGGTACCAAGATAGGATTTAATCATTAGTTGCAAGCAATCATTCCAGGGCGGATCTCTGATACGGATTTTTTCGGCTTCTTCACTTGCTTTTTGTGGTTCAATGTTCATGTTCACTCTTTGCATGGATTGGTTCAGGAAACTGGCAATCAGCCATTATGTGGTTGTCTTTTGTTGTTGACAGCATAAGGATATGCCAATAAACCATGGTTGAGTGCACTTGGCAGAGTTTGCCACTGAGATTTGGATTGGCGGATGCTGATCATATTTTGGTGAATGAGCTGATGCCGCAGCCACTCTTTGCTCTAACACTGGTCAACTACAGTAAATCGTCATTGACAGAAAACCCCTCCCATTTTATGTGTACTCAAGTAGGCCCTGTATAAATCTTGGTTTCAATTTGCTTATGTAATTGCAATGAACATTGAAATTCTTGTGCTTTGAGTTCTAGCTAGTGAACACCAAACCAGATTGGATTATGGGATAACTGTGATTCATTATGATTGCTTCCATTTAGCAATTCACAAAAACTGTATTACACTGCAAATATTAAACTGGTAACATCTAACTTGACTTGAAAACACAAAAATTTGACAGCAGTTACAGTAAGCAATCAAGGTCAGCCACCTAAGGTATATTTCCTTCCACTGAAAGGCTGAAACTGCTTATTCTCCGGTTTAGCTGCTGTAGCCACACGTCTAGCTTGCACTCTCTGAGGCTCTGCACCAACACTCTGCATCTCTTCATCAACCGCCACCGCCGTCTCATTCAGCCTCCTTGCTGCTCCGGTGAACGGTATGAATCCCCGAGAACCACCCACTCCCTCTTCCCTAATCTCCTGCGACGCTGGGGCTGGCGCCGGCTCTTTGTAATCCAAAGGAACAGCAAACTCCACGGCGCAATCCGTGTCAATGATGCAGATGGCATCACCAGGCTTTGTCTCTACAATGTCGATGTAAAACGTCTTGCTCCCGACGTTGATAGCAATGGTGTCTCCGGTGGTCAGGCAGGAGAAGTTGGCGCTAAGAGTTTGTTCCAGCACCGCTTTCACGTCCCTTGTAGCCAAGAACGCAACGGAATGCGGCTGAAGCTTGGCGAAGGTGCCCTTCTCGAGAGTGGTGCTCTTCAGGAGCAGAGTCTCCCCTGCCTCCACCTTCAGATTCTCCATCATCCACCCCGGCACCATCATCGTCCCTTCTTCGGCGGTGAATTCCACCACCCCGCAGTGAGAAACCCGCTCCTTCGAGTCGTTCCTGATCTCGAACAACATCGGGTAGCTTGGTCGGTATCTGTAGAGAAACTCCAGGGCCGATTCCGGCAGTATGACCAGGTTCCCCTGTTCGAGATGCTCCCTACTGTTCCCGCTTATCGGACGGCAAGTGTAGGATCGCTGGAAGGGGTAGTAGCGGCTTTGGTAGTCTTCCGAGTAGTCGCTGCCGCTGTCGTCGTAATCCTCGTCGGAGCTATGCTCCTCGGCTGGGACGGTGCGATCACTGTCGACCTCAGAGCTTTCCGATTCCATACCGAAGCTCTGCCCCTCCTCTCTTACGGCAGGGATGGTGTGATCGCTGTCGACGTCAGACCCTTCGGCATCATCACCGAAGCTTTGCTCCACTTCTCTTACGGCCAGAACGGTGCGATCGCTGTCGACGTCGGAGCTTTCCCATTCCTCACCGAAGCTTTGCTCCTCTCTTACGGCAGGGATGGTGTGCTCGCTGTCGACATCAGACCATTCGGCATCCTCACCGAAGCTTTGCTCCTCTTCTCTTACGGCCAGAACGGTGTGATCGCTGTCGACGTAGGAGCTTTGCTCCTCGTCTGAGCCATCGGAATCCGGGTTGTCGCTCTGCTCGTCAGCTGTTTTGGTCTCTGCCCTGCTCTCCTTCTCTAGTTCTTGGGGTTCGTCTTCCACGATGACTCCGTTGGGAGCTCCTTCAGCCGTCTCCGGCAGGATAACCAGTGGGTTTGTGGAGCTCTGATCATCAGCGGCATGATTGGCGTCCATGGCGGATGTGGGGAAGAAGGAATCGAAAACCTGTAGCAAGAAAGTAGAGAGTATTAGTTGGACACATAGGAGGCGTATCAGTTTAAATTACGAGCAAAAATTGCACGGGATTCGGCCATTGGAAGTCTTGAGCGCCACGGAACCTCAGTAGGGCAAACAAATTTCTACCCTAATTCCGGAAGTATGTTTGTCTACCGTATTTGTCATACTACTACTCTTATCATCATTCATAAGATTTTTTTTTTTTTTTTGAAACAAGTAAACTATGGTTGGATAATTGGATTGTTGTCTTGTTGATCTATTAATAGTCAACTTCACAACTACTTCCACTACTATTGGGGTGTCGAAAAGGGTCGGTTAGGGTTCACCTTTGAGGATTGAAGTATTGAGTTCAAGGTGGTTGTACTGTAGCAGATTTCGCTAAATTGGAGGTCTTTTGGTATAGAGAGACTGATGTTTTTTTTCTTATAAATTTTGTGATGTGATATTATCTATTTATAATCCTCCTTCAACCTTCTGTTCTGTCATGTTAATAATTACGGTTCCAAAAGTTGTTAAAAAGCGTATCTGAACATATGGCAAATAGATTTTTTTGTTAATATATCTTCCATCTGTGTCTAAATAAAACAACCGGAAGTTTAATAAATATTTATCATTAGATACGGGGTGCAGGTCAGACTTAATGCAGGCAAGACAAAAGGTTATGTCAACAAAATCTATAAGTTTTTAAAACTTTATTAGTACTAGCCTATAGCCCGGCCCGTTGGCCGCATTTGTTTAAGGAAATGGAGTTACAATATTTATAATGATAGTGTCGAGAAATGAGTCTTGTTTTATATTATCATAAGATTGTTGCAATTTTGCAATTCGTTGAAGACGAACATGTAATATGAATGAACATTCATAATAAGTTAGAAATACATTTGAAGATTAGCTAATCACAATAAAAATACTTACATGAAATTTTACTAATCACAAATCTAATCTAGTTGAGTATTACGACAAATAACATGCAAGTCCAAAATAAGAAAACTCAATACATTGTCTCATTGTTCATGACATGGTACTCAATTCAACAAAGGCAAAAATAATTTCACCAACACAAGTTCACAATAACCAAATGCATCGTTCCAGGGACCGACTGTGACCATGACTTCAAATGTCTGTTCTCCAAGCATGTTCAGAAGGGCCATATAGTCAGCATTGACAACATCTGCATGACTGAATACAGATTCAACAATCGTTCGTAACTGTGATGACGGGAAGACGATGTCAACACCAATGAGTTCGTCCTCAATTGTGAGGTGGACGAAATGGATTCTGGATGCAGGGGACCAGGACGTCGTCAAATTCGTTACACGTCCGGATAACAAAAAAGAGGTGCCCTGATGTAAACACAGAAACGAATATTGTCAAAGCAAATCGATAAAATGCAGCATGCCACAAAAGGCGTACGATTAAAAAGAAATTTATTTGTTTAGTTACCTGATTTTCGACATCCACTTGCAACATAATGAGATCGATGGTGTCGGCACGCTCACAAATTTCAAGAGCATCATCATATTGCAGATTAGCAATAAAACCATGGGGAAGCCTATATATTGGACTGTAAGTTTTGGCATTAAGTAGTGAAAAAGAATCGAAATTACATGATGTAGTATTTGTTGGATGCATGAGCAATACTTACTGATTGAATTGAGGCAGGCCCGCCATATTGAATGCAATTCGCACGGTCAGTGGAACCGAAGTGTTTTGTATGGGAAGTAGTAAACGGAAATTGTAACATGAGAGAAAGTGGTATCTCCATTATATAAAGGAGAGAAAGTGATTCTACACACGTGATTTACTTGGCCGCATGCAGTGGAGTACGTGTGTGTGTGGAAAGTGGGATAGTGGGGGAGTGGAGAAGGATTTGTGGCCTCGTGGGGGAGTGGAGAAGGTTGGCCATTTAGAGTTCAAGATGCGGGTGTGTCACGGAACTCACGACCCACCTTTTTTTTTTTTTTGAGGGGAACGACCCACCTTCTTAAAATCAAACATGCGCCTTCCTTTATTTTGTTGCAATTAAAAATTCAAAAACAAAAGAAGGTAAGTACAGAATAAAATATAAAGAGAAGAAAAATCAGTTCACTTTTCCCAAAAAAGACCTAGCAGCCACCCAAATTATGCTTTTTCAGTTTTAATAAGTCTCACTTTATTCTTTTATCTCTAATAAGTGAAACAATAATTGTAAAAAAAAAATTGTTAAGTCTACCAAGTAAGTCAACACCGGTTTATGATCGGTTTTTAATATCGATTAACCACCGGTTATTTGATAAACCTTGAACCCTTTACTAATCCGGATCGATGTCTGGTTCCGTATTAACAACATTGCTAATTGCGACTGTGTCAACAATTCTTGTCCAAAATTGCCTCTCAAAGTTGCTAATTATTATTTGATGCGCCAACCCGGCCGGCCCGGCCCACACCACCACTAATTAACATGAAATGAAAATCATAATGAATGTATTTAATAAAGAAATAATGGCTTGGAATGCGGCAGCCTTCACCTCATAGAAGATCCAAAAAAATCGGATACTGGGCAGTAGAGGAGGTGGGGGAGTGGGGGAGTGGAGAAGGATCCGCCCAAGGTAGTGTAGGTTGGCCTTTTTTTTTATGGGAATAGGTTGGCCATTTAGTTCCAACAAATCCGGCTGGGCATTCCCTCTCTAACTATATTTTATTTAACCGAACCATGCTTGGGTTGTTTTGTGGGCTGGGTTGTGGTGTTAATTTAGTTTAGTTCAGTTGCGACTATGGAAGTTCTTCTTCGTATTGCAATATAACGGTCACACTCGCATACCCTTCGGTAGAGTAAATTGAGGTACAATTAAATATAAAGTAGTGTGCATAAATCACATTTCATATAATTGGCTGTTAAAAACAGGAAAATAATTTGGACAAATTGAGAACTCAAGATTCAAATTGTAACGACCCGATAAATTTGACAGTCTTAGTCCTCAAATCGAATAAAACATAATACATCAATAAACCACTACTCAAAAATCTCAGTGAACACAATGTTCTGCATAGTCTTCACCGGTTTACCTTGAGAGTCACAGCTAAGAATCTTGAGTCCCCTTTCCGACGTAACTCGAGACATAGCAACATACAACTGTCCATGAGAAAATACTTGTCTTTGCAAGCAGATGCCAACGAGATTTAATGTTTGACCTTGACTCTTGTTAATTGTCATTGCATATGACAGTGCAATTGGATATTGCCTTCGAACCAGAGTGAAATTTAAGCTCTTGTAGTGGACCGATAGACTTAGGCATGGTAAGAAAACTGTATCACCAACATGTGTCCCGGTCAAAATTTGGACCTCAATAAACCACTTACCTAATCTCTTAACGATCATCTGAGTTCCATTGCAAAGCCCAGTACTCTGATCCAGATTTCGAAGCAGAATAACAGGGCACCCCAACTTCAATTTCAACTCATGTTCCGGAAAATTCCCAATCTTTAAAGAGTTCAAGAATTCAACTGTGTAGTCCCCTTCTTCAACATGCTGATTCTTGGCATCAATCTCTAGCGAATCCGAACTAAAATAAGAAACTTCTTCACCAGGAAATAGACCCAATACATAATTGTTAATGACCGCAACAGTGTCATTATGAGGGGCTAAGATAGCTCGCTCAACCAAATAGGTTGACATATTTTCAGTGGAGAGTAACTGACCATATATTTCAGCAACAATATCAGGAATTGGATCACTGCGACGGGGAACACAAATGTGTAGAGGTATCGGGATAATGGATTCTCCAAAAATATTACTATTTGTACCATCACCAATTTCCAAAAGCCATTTGCTAAAATTTGAGATTGCTAACCTGGCCGATGCTTCAGAATGAGGCAATTTTAATCGCATGTTCTCGGTTAGCTTCAATACTGTCATAGACCGCCACAAATAAATTTCAGTCCGTGTACCCTTCGTGATGATAGGTAACGTCTGTCGGAAATCACCTCCAAACACAATAGTCATACCTCCAAAAGGCTTCAACTCAGAATCAACATGCTTAACTCGGAAAATATCCCTCAATGTCCTATCTAGGGCCTCTATGTTGTGTTTATGAGCCATCGGTGCCTCATCCCAGATAATAAGTGAAGCATTGAGAATCAATTCAGCTACCTCAGAACCTTGCTCAATATTGCAAGTTGATTTTGTATCACAATCCAGGGGAATGTGAAATCTTGAGTGTGCAGTTCTTACACCGACCATGAGCAGTGCAGCAATACCAGATGAAGCAACACATAATACTATCCTCTTCTCAAATCTTAATTGCTCACAAATTGCTCGCCACAGAAATGTCTTACCAGTACCCTCAAATCCATCCACAAAAAAGCATTTACCCTCATTGGTATAAACAGAATGTAATACCATATCGTAAGCGATTTGTTGTTCTCCATTCAACGGTCTACTATGTCGATCCTCAGAACAGTCTAAGTCATCGGGTCCATAATTCATCTCCATATCTATCAGCCTATTTACCGTATGTGAACGCAAACACTGATCGGGAACAGGCAACCCAAGGAAATCTGCTAATGACTTCGAAAATATCTCCATCAATTTGTCAATATGAATAAGGCACATCTCCTTAATTTCATCCTCCGACAAATTCAACTGGGGTAAATTCAGCTCTCTACGTCGTGAATGCAAAATGCCTTCACTTAGTAATTCCCAATTCTTTAACCAAAAAGAAGTCACATCAGCCACCTGACAATGAATAAGAATTGTGACAAAAAGTTTTCTAAGTTTATAACCAGAAGCCCAGTGCGAAGCTTCTTGGACACAATCATTCCATTCGGAATCTCCTGATAACAGTCCCCGAGCATAACATGCTTTTTGGAATGTTTCATATACCACCCCATTCACTGTTCTAATATCATCATAAGAAAAACAACCCCTAACAACATGCAATAGCATTCGCAAATAGTATCGCTCCTTTGCGGATGGGTAGCAGTAATATAATCTAGCAATGCAGGTACCTTTTTTGCGCTGCTGCCACTTCTTGTATTTTTTATTCCATACATAATATTGTGGCATCTCCGCAAAGGTATATTTCCGTGCATCCATTGACTGAAGATTGAGATCCATCCATGCTAACAACATTAAGGTTTGGGAACTGCTAGACTCAACCGCTTCCTCCACGTTAGAATCAACATTTGAATACACTGTATTCTCACCAGGCAAATGACAGGACATACGCAGTACTGTTGGAGAGTGAGTGTATATATCAAACCTAAAAATTCTCCAACATGCTTCTCCCGATGTGATGTAACGGGCATCCATGAATGCCTTTATCTCATCGATTTGCACAACCGTAGTTCCACGATTCCGACCATCCATAGCCGAAGCTGTTTGTTGTGCAGCTACAGTGACCATTGCACGATCCTCGGGTTTGTTGATGTACTTAAACAAATATTTCACAGCCCTATAGAAACATCAAATAAAACCAAGTTGTAGATGTTAGATAGGGAAGTAGGAAAAAGTTGTATTACATTTTTTCTTAAATGTGACTTGTATTAAATAAGAAATCAAAGTACGGAGAACAAAAGGCAACAAATGGATCACAATAGCTTATCCAAGGGGCAAAAAAAAAAAGAAGGAAAACACACCAAAAAATATTACAAAAATTACAGAGTTGCGGCAAGAAGTCACACCAATAAGATAACACTGGGTTTATAAAATAACTAAAAAAAAAAAGAGAAATCACACAAATATTGGTTTGATTTTTATTCATCTTTGGAAATTAAATCATAATTCATATGCATGCATAAAGTTAATAATGAGTGTAGCATATAAATATACATATAGCCTGTCATTAAGAATCTGAGTTTGGTAATATAATAAAGGAAACAACAACGTCATATAGATAAATACGATTTACTTCAGCCATACCTTGTCTTGTTACAATATTCAATATTGATATGCGCTCCAAATCGTAGTAACAAATATCGATTGTAGGGTACAACCATCGATTATCCAGATCAACGCCGCCACAGTTGAATATGTCTCATACGTGGTGGCGGGTGGGGGACGGCGCGCCAAATTTCGTCGGCGATGGGCTGGTTCTGGACTCAAGTAGGCTGGGCCTCTGAAGTATGGGCTGGCGAGAGAAATGGATCCCCGAGGCCTTATGGTTTACGCTTTCCTTTTCCCCCGCCAGGCCAGCGGTAGTTTATAGCCGGCCCTTCGGTTTACTGACCCGGAAAACGACCCGGACGAAGTACCTGGCTGCCGCCGCCGAACGTCTCTTTCTTTCCTCTTCTTTCTCTGCGGCCCGGAAAAACTCAGCTCAGAATCGGCAGTCGGCTGCTCTCTGGAAGACAGTCTAAGCAAAGTGGAATTTAAAGTAAGCAACTTTGTTACTTTCAAGAGAAAGGGAAAAATCAAAAATCCCCTCTTGATCTCTAGAGAATCCAATCAACAGAATGAAGCGAGGAAGGTAAGAGAATAAAGAAAACGGAATGAACCAAAGGTAAGGGAGATGAATCTTTGCAACCGAATCCCTGAAAAAAAAAAACCCAGAACCCGAATCCCTAAAACTTAAAAGCAGCGACAACAACCAACAGAAATCTGAAAGAGGAAGAATAACTTACGGCAAAACCAATACCAATCTAACGCTTAGAGAACGGAAATCAAAGGTAGATGCAAGCACATAAAAGAACCAGATGATTGAGTCAAGGTTTGGTTTTCCGAAGGCCAAGAAACTTATTCGAATGAGGTGAAAGAGTGGAAGGAAGGAAAATCGGAAATAAAAAATACAAATTAAATGAGAACGTGGGCCTGGTAGGAGAAAAAAGTGGGTAGTGGAGAGTTTTTTATACAAATTAAATGAGAACGTGGGCCTGGAAGGAGAAAAAAGTGGGTAGTGGAGAGTTTTTTGGTTCTGAAATCAGGCGGGACTCTTTTTTCCCGCTTAACACTCTGCCACATCAGCTTCCTAAAATCACTCTATGGGCAGGAAATTTTGAATGGGGGTTGCAGTTTTACTTTTCAGCTATAAATTATACTGTTGACTAAAAGGTATGGAAGGCAAAAAAAAAAAAAAAACACAATGAACATGCAAGTTATACTTAAATATCACATAAAAGCTAATACATTTAGGATTAGGGCTTTGGTTTATGCTCAATGGAAATGAAGGCTTTTAAGGAGACGGTGGATGATAGGCGCGGTAAGGAGCAAGTGAAGAATCCTGACTAGAGCTATGGTAGGTCAGAGAAGTCCCAGTCGAGGATCAAGGATGTGATGTACACGGTGGAGGAGATTTCGATATGAAGATTGAATGAGATAGGGGAAGTTGTCTTCGGTTCGATTCAATGTAAGTGAAGGTTTTAAGGTCCAACCTGAATACCATTAAAGGATGTTGCTTGACGAGGCTCGTTATGACATCGTTTCACCTACATGACTTTGTCCTACGTACTACACAAACCTACTATAATTGTTCTCATCAAACGCATGTAAAGATGTTATAGGACTTACACTGTAGCTAGACGGTTAATTTTGTTATCGTTACGATTAAATGTGATTAACAGTAAGTAGGGATTCAGGTGCAACCATTATAATCTCACCTTGAACATATTTTAAAGCTTATTGAAATAATCAGTTTTGCATAACCCTATGCTTATTGTAGAAGAGCTCGCCAAGCTATGCTAAGGTTTCCACCATGAGTGACAACGTTGGATATACTACAGTTTTTACTAGTATCTCCTCTACTAAATCAATTGACCACCTCGTTCCTCAATATGCGGTTTAGTGAAGTTTAATGGTAAGGATTACAATCTCTAGAGCAAATCTCTTCACATCATGTTGAAGACTAGGAAGCGTCTTAGGTACATAGATGGGCCTAAGCCCCAACCACGTGCAGATGACATTGCCTTCAAAGAATGAATTCCAACAACACTCAGGTACTTGGATGGCTCTTAAATTCGCTAGACGAAGGAATGTATGATAGTGTACCTTGTATTAAGAACTCTCGAGGAATCATAAAAAAAAATTAAAAAGAGTTATGGAAAAACAAATGTTGTTAGATTTTCATATATGCATATTGTTATGTATTCTTGCAAACTAAAAAAACTTGAGTGTTAATTAGTACTTTACTAAGCTGAAAAAGTCTAGGCTAGAGTATTATTCAATACATGGAAATATTTTGCAACACATGGACAACTACTAATTGTCCTTCTACTGTAGCACTAAATAACCTCAGAGGGTTCTTGTATGATGACAATTTCATGAGGCTCGTTATCATATTGAATTAGAATTGTAATGGTGTTCAAACCAATATCACGATGATGAAGCTCATGCCTAGTGTTGGAACTGCGTTCAACTATGTGTTACAACATCAAAGGAAACTTGACCCATGTGTTTCAACATATAAGCGACTTCTATAATTGACATGAATGTTGCATCAAACCTCATGTGTTGAGATACCGAGTCAGCAGAATGGAAGCGTGGAAAGAAAACACCAACATAAACTCAACGTGGCTAGAGATTTAAGCTTTCAATATGGATTACCATTGTCATTTCGAGGATATTGTGTTTTGCATGTTGTGTTATTGATCAACAAATTACCACTCCTTGTTGGTCAATCTGATACCATATGAGAAGGTTTATGGAAAACAACCAGACTATAGTGTGTTAAGAGTGTTTTTATGCTTGGGTTATGCCAAACACTTGTGTATGGAAGTAAGAATTTTGATACTAAAGCCAGACATTGTGTATTCTAGGGTTACTCATCTAATATGAAGGGGTAAAGATTGTTAGATATATTAATCATATTGTATTTGTATATAAAGAAGTTAAATATTATGATCAGATTTTTCCATATAGGAAAGATCAACCTTTATAGCCAAGCCAAAACACACGTTCCATATCTCAGCCTATCTCATTTGGCCCTTTCTCAAAACCTGAGCATCTACTTCTAGTAAATCCAAACGCCAACATACATCCACCTTCTCATCCTAGTGGTGATAACCTTCACTAAGAACCTCCACCATACACATCCATATCACCTCAACAACCTATAAGGCTTGAAAATGATCACTTGGAGGATGAGGAAATAGAAGAAGAGGAAGTTATCATACCTCTTGAATCCACAAAATTTGTTCTTAGAAGGATATACATAATCTCTAATCCACCAGCTTATATTTTTCTAAACTACCAAACAAACCCAAAACCACTAAATGCAAGTCCACATGTCCTACCAACTTCATTCCCCACAAAACCTTACACCAACATACCCAAAAATTCCCTCAGTATCCTAAACTTAACTAAACATAAAATGTATAGAGAAGCTATACAACATATGTTGATATGAATTGAAGAAAAATTATTTATCACCGACTGGAAGTAGAAGTAGATACTATATATATGTATATGGATACGACTTTTATGCTCCAGACGCATAGCACGCTCCATGCTTCTCTACCATTGATCTAATCTAATTGCTATTATTATTTATAATTAATTAATTTTTATTGATAATTACAATTACTAATTACACCCGATTAATAATTATGCGTCCACTACAATCCCCCAACAATGATTTAGATCTTGAACTAACTGGAGTTTGGGGCTTGATACTATATCCTAAACTCTAATGGGTGACCCTAGTCCCCAATTCTCTAACTCAAACCATAAGATTCATTTAATCTTCAAATGCAAATCAACGTTTCTGATTCGTCAGAATTATCAAAGTACAAATAATAAGTGTGAATGCATTTGTATAGCCTTTGCCATATATAGATAAGTGAGTTCTATGGTACCCAGGGTGAAATCTGTTGTACTGCATACCTTAAGTATGAAAATGCTATTCAGACCTTTAGTTGTCTGATCTTCCCGACATGATACTATACTCTATCCCTTAAATATCAAAATCTATGTCTTAATTCTCTAAATATTATATCCCGAGAAAAATTTAATGAGAAACAATAATCGACCCTTATGATTTGTCAAAATATATGCAAAAAACGAATGCACCATCTTAGGCTTTATAGTTTATGATTTAGATAATTAGGACTTAAGGGTTCACTCGATAAGGGTTAGGGTATAGTATCAGGCCAAAAAATCCTGCTAATTTGAGGTCTAGATAGCGTTTTCATACTCAAGGTATGCGGTACCCCGGATTTCACTTGGGCTACCGTAGAAGCAACCAAACGCCCCACAACTAATCAAGCTAAGGCGTGCTCCTAGGCGTGCATTCTTGAACATTCATATTTAGTACTTTTGGTCATTCTTATGTTTGTGGATTGAAAATGATGTTAAATGACACTTGTTTAATTTAATTGGATAATTATTTGTGTATTATAACTGGTTATTGTTTTGCTCTATTATACTTCTTGAAATAAAATTGAAGTTAATGGTTCGATTAGGTATAACCTAGTTGTTAGAATGTATTTTAGTAGTTATTGGTTAATCAATAAGACTAACCGCTAATTAAACTGATAAAAGACGGTTAACCAATTAGACTTATCAGTTTGGTTATTGGTATGAGTTTTTACTTATTGTTAACCGCTAACAACCATATTGGTTAGTTGGTGCTAAGGGGCTTACCTAAAATACATTTTCTAGATATTAATCCCATGTAGTCCGGATCGAAAAGGTAAAAACCTTGTTAGTTGTTGTAGTCATTAAGCATTTGGACTTACATAAAATAGATATAAGTAATGCCTATTTATATGAGATTAAGATGAGGTTTTTTATATGGAAATACAATTAACAAGCATGTCTTCTTAAGAAGTCTATCTATGGATGAAAACAAGCAAGCATAAAATGGTTTGCCAAACTCATTGTTTCATTAATCAAGTTAGGCTTATAGTAATCCCATGCAGATTACATAATGTTTACATACATTAGGGGAGATATTATTAGTCATTTTAGTATGTTTGGGTGATATCATTCGTGTTGAGAATGATTTAGCACTGATTGACCAAACAAAGCAGTTTCTGGATAAAAGAGTTCAAGATCAAGGATTTGAGAATTCTCAATACTTCTATAAGGAAGCAAGACCTTAGTTGCAAGCTTGATTTGACTTCAATCAATATAACAGTCAAGTATTTGTATGTGTTGGAAATCTCTTGCCATATCCTACTATTCACAATAGGTTGGTTGTTGGGAAGATACGATATATCACCAAAACCATAACCTACATAGTTGAACAACTATGTCAATGCCAATAAGAGCAAACGGATCAGAAACACCAAATAGATCACCATATATTCAGGTACCTCAGAGCACATCATATGCAATGTCTTCTTTATTCAAACAAACATGTCTTTTCAATTAAAGGAATATTCTGATGTTGATTGGGTGGCATGTCCAGATACAAGAAAGTCCTTATAAGGGTACTGTACATTCTTAGAAGATTCACGAATAACCTGGAAAACAAAATAAAACAATAGATTGTTTATGGGTCTTCCTCTAAAGTAGAGTGCAAGTCACTTGCTCAACTGTCAAGTGAGATGATTTGGCTAAAACAACTACTTCTTGAATAGGGATTTAACCACACTGCCTTAGCTCGTCTCTTTTGTGATAATTAGTCATCCATCCACATTGCACACAACCTTTTCTTCTACACATTTTTTATAAATTGTCAAAGTGACTCATGTTCGAACTAAGCTAAAACTTGCAGATGTATTAACCAAGGGACTGAGTTATCATCACCTACATTTCCTTCTTGTCAAGCTTAGAGTTACAAACATTATACACTTCACAACTTAAAGGATGTCCGAAGATGAATGAAATAGAGGAAGTATACTCTGGTTCGACTCAGCCTAAGTGATGGTCACATGTCCAATCTAAAGGCCGTTATGAGTTATTTATTGAAGAAGCTCGTTGCATTGTCACATAGTGTCTCCTATTTATTGTACAAACCCATATTACTGTTATTAGACATGTGTAGATACGATATTGGACTTCAAACTGCAGCTATAGAGTTAATTTAGTTAACGTTATGATTAAATGAAATTAGTAGTAAGTAAGGATTCAGGTGCAAACAACGTTATCAAATATGAACTAGAGTATGAATCAATGTATAAATGTTTCACATTTTATTGGTTAACAGGTACCAAACATTGAAACTATTAACAAATTGGTCACTTATAATAAGAGAAATATAATTAGAACATAAACAGTGACATCATAAATAAGATGACTTCATCTTGGCATTTTGAAATAAATTAAAGATTATTTAAACTGCAAATCCATGAATAAAATGTCGCGAGGAATCGTTTGCTTGTCATTTCGACACTAACCGACTCGAAGACTATGAGGGAATTTCTCGACTTGTTTGAATGAAATATGTATCGTTGAATATGTTGAAATTCACTCCACAATAAAAAAATTACAAACTAAAAAACACAAGACAAAAACATAAAATCACTCCATAAAGTTTATCTCTCCTTTATCTTCATAACGTTATTTCATCCATCAGACTTAAAACACAAGACGAAAACATAAATGAGTAAACTCAATGCATTTAATAAAAACAACGTATACCTAATCGATACAATTCACCACACAACAAACAAGACATGCTATCTAGAAAGTTGTTGCAACGGAGTGGAAAAAATTATGCGTCTGCCGAGAGTCAAATCCAGGTCTATTGCTTGGAAGACAATTATCCTAACCATTGGACTACAAACGCCTCCTGTTCACAATTCATGTCAGCAACTATATAATTGTCAATGAGCACTTCTACTATGCTATATAATATTGGTGCTTTAATGTACAACTTAAAGTTGTACCATAACATTAAATGTATAAGTTTAGGTTGTACCATAAAGGAATTTGTATCATTATGTTATGGTACAACTTTACAACTTGAAGTTTTACCATCACATAAGGTACAAGTTTAAATTGTACCACAAAAGAATTTGTACAAAAAATATAGGTACAATATGAAGTTGTACTATAAAGGTAAAAACCTATAGCACCAATGCTATATAGTATTATAAAATTCCTAAATTATCAATTTAAAAGCTCAGGTCATCAACGAAATGGAAGAAGGAATACGGAGTTACGGACGATGCATACCAAAACCAAGAAGATATTGGAGGTAAAAAGAGGCCAAATAGTTAAGTTTTTGTTTGGGGTTCGAAATGAGATTTTAAAGGAGTACTTGCTTGATACTTAAATTAATTGAGATTGGATAATTAGTACTCATGTGGATTGTGGACATATCATACCTAATGTAATCAAAAGTGTGATTCTACATAGAAGTTTTTTGGTAACCTATGAGCTTAAAATCATAAATTTTTAAGTTTTAAAGCGCGATTTTGACTAAACTTGTAAGTGAAAAACGTGATTCTAAGTAGAAGCATTTTGGTGGCCTAAAAGAGTAAAAGCGTAAACTTTTAACTTTTAAAGTGTAATTTTGACTACATTGATTATCATGTAATTTTAGATTAATTGGTTATGGAATAGATACTTGTGAGAAGTTTGTATGAAAGGGTTTGAGAGCTATTTTCTCACACGCATATAAATATACATGTTGACACATGTACTCTAAATGTCCGAATTTTAAAACATGACAAATTAATCATAAATTACTCGTAACATTAAGAAAATTATCCCTTATAAACACGTGTTTGATGTCATTTTATCACTGTTATATCATCAACTTGCCACTATGGCATGACAAACAACACGATCATATCATGATATTATCATAGTGACAATATCATGATATGATAGTGGTGTGATGAAATCAATTTTTTTCCTTCAAAGATAAGACTTCATATTATCTTATCACTATCATACCAATATCAAACTACTACGGTAGGACTTCATAGTATCATCTCATCAATGTCCTATGATGATCTTACCATATCATTGTCATATCATGATATGATCACTATAATAATATGATAGTGGTATGATGACATCAATTTTTTTTCTCTAAAAATAATACTTCATATCCTCTTATCAATGTCATACCAACATAATACTACTATTATATGACTCCATAATATCATGTCAGCACTATCATATCATAATCTTACCATTATGTCCAGACTAACAGCACCATGATATCATTGTCATATCATGATATGACCATAACGATAACATCATGACAGTAGTGAGATGACATGAAAATTTTTGCTCAAACAAATATACAAAGGAATTTAATGTTTTAGAGCATAAAAAGTCTCATTTTTCTAAGCAAATTTTTTTTGAAATCCTATGTAAACCGAATGAGATATTGTTTGTTGAAGATTCGTAGAAGGTTTGAAAAGTGGTTTAACAGCACACCTGGAAATACGTGTTATCCCCCAAAAATTCGTTCAGCTATTCAGAAAATCTGTTAAGTTGTCCTCAAAATCCCGTATTTCTCTTCTTACCCTGATATGGACCTAGATATTTTTTTTTCAAATTACAACCATTAAATCTGGTTTTGTAGTACTACATATAGCCATAGAAATGATTTTGTATTGGAACTTTAGCCTTTTTCAATTGCATTTGCATTTAATAGGTTTGCAAGACTCTTGTTTATGTTTAAATTCATCCCCTCTCAATAATAGTAATAAATTAATAAATTATATAAATTATTTATTACTTTTTCTTTATACAGGTGGCTATTTCGGTGCACTCACTTTTTTGGGTGCATTGAATGCACCCAACTCTAAAAGTGACCATAATACATCGAATTTTGAACTTTAATTGATAGTATTAGTCTAATATGATGATATAAAATAAAATCACAACTAATCAATTCATTACCCTAACCCCTTAACCTTCAATTTTGAATCCCAACCCAAAACCCAAATTGTAAATCTAAACTCTAACCCTAAATCCATAAACTCTAAATCATTCAAATTAAAGTAAATCTTTAATAATTTTTGTACAAATTCATGTGCTTCTTGTCCATCATACCACAAGTGATGGTTGACATTGTTTTCACATAAATCGCCTACTCATAATGACGATTATGAAGCGAGTGCATTGAATGCACCCAACAAACTTGTAGTTTCACATTAATATTAACTTTCTGAGAATAAACCATATCCATATGTGGATATTGAGGATGAAAAAATAAATAATACTCGTGAATATCCGTACGAATTGGATTCAATCGAGTATGATAAAATTCAAATATGAAGGATTAAAATGGGTATGGGTAAAACTTGAATCAAAATATCGTGGGTAATGGGTGTGCATGATTTTCTTGATATTCAACATGAACGTAACCTGCACGATTATACACATGCATATGTAATTTATTTAAAAATGATCAATATTTCTTAACATCTTTGATACTTATTATACATACGATATTTTCATAAACTTTTATTGTTATTAACTAATTTTCTTCGTGTTAGTAATTTATTGTTATATTTTATTTCTTTATATAATTTCATTATACATGGAATTGTTAACATGTTGGGTGGAGTTATAAACATAAATGATTACCCATGGATAACTGTGGATACTTGAAATCCAATTGCATATGAGTATAATTTTGAAAATTTACTCAATTGTTAAGTGGGTATGATATGGCTAAAACCCAAACTATTTTGAGTAGGATAATGGATAGTCAATATCTGTTCTTCGATCCTATTTGTCAGCATTCCTAGCGGATGTCCAAAGATGTGTAAGTATACAAATAACTTGATTGGTACTGGGCACATGGTGATGGCTTAGGAATGGAGG